TGTTTTGGCAGTCAGAGGCCCCTCGGTGATAAGGAGATGCTATTACAAGGATTTTCAGGTAGGAAAGTCAAATTGGGTACTGACAACGGTGGTCACCTTCCATTTCCATGTAATGACTCACTGCTGGAATGGTAAACAACAGCGTTGGAACTGTTTCTACATCTATGGACAGTTTGTTAAAACAGGACTGTATAAACAGTAAATATGCAAATAATTACAGAAGTTCATTAACAGACAATACAGCAAATGTGCATAGAGGATCTGCAGTTGTCTCGATTACAATTTACAGACCAAATGAATTTACCTTAAGATACCTGGCAGGTCGGCACTTTTGAAAACTGCTTTAATTTGTAACATTTTTATCTTTAATTATTACAAATATAATATTAGCAATAAAACTGGAAAACAAGGAGATATCTGTTAGTGTACAGGTTCAGTTGAAATTCAGTACAAGATTCGTCTGTAAGTTAGGTAAAGTAATAAACAGTAAAATGAAATATGGGAAAAGGGACAGATGCGTCAATTTAGAGGTTCCCATCAGCCTCAGAACTGTGGGTCTCCACTGTTTGAATGTTTTTCACTGTTGGTAGAAGCCGCAGATCTTTTACCTGATAATAAAAATCGGCATTCAGACAAAAGAGCTGGTAGTGGACAGGAGAAGACCAAGGTCTCTAGCTACCCCTTTGTCCATTCAGGCCAACATGGTGGAGATCGTACAGGACTATAAGTACCTGGGTGTCCACCTTGACGGCAAACTGGACTGCATAGCCCTCTACAGGAAGGGTCAGAGCAGGTTGTAATTCCTGTAGAGGCCTGGGTCCTGCAGAGTCTGCGACACAATGCTGCAGATCTTCTAGGAGTCTGGTGTAGCTGGGGCAGCAGTGTGAAGGTGGAGAATGACAACCGGCTCAAGCTGATCAGGAGGGCTGGGTCGGTGCGAGGGGATGAGCTGAACACTAAGACACTGGCAGAGAGGAGGAGGCTGCCCAGACTTCAGTCGATCATGGACAATTCCACTCACCCGCTTCACAGCATCGTGTTTGGACAGAAGAGCACTTTCAGCTACTGACTGATTAACAAAAAATGCCTGAGGAAATCATTACTTCTGATGGCCATAAAGTCAACCAGCACATATACAATAACATGTATATGATATATGTATTTTTTATCAATTTAATCTTCTTATTTATTATATTTCACGTGCAATATTTACCATACTTATTGCCATGATCACCCACCTACTTATCATCTCTGGATGTCATACTTATTTATTCTCATGCAGAGATTGTTGTATGTGGTTCTGTGTACTGTCTATTTTTGTCTTGTTGCGTGGTTGTGTAATGTGCAGTCTAACAAACAATTTCCTTTGGGATAATAAAAGTCTACTGATTCTGATTCATTCAGCAGGTGTGGCACTGCATTTTGAGACTAGCAGTAAACAGAAACTTCATCACCTGGAGACACATAAATTATGAAGTATGCTGTTGTTCATGAGCATTATTTCTTAGAGGGGAACTCGCGAGTATTTAAAGCATTTGGATATACCTCTTCTCGGCTGTGACCTCAGAATTTTCTCAGTGCCGTCCGTTGTGTACAGCTACAAGTATTCCAAGGCTGATACCATTGTCTGTCATTCAGAAAGCTGTCATTTGTACTTAGTCATGCTTTACACATGAAGGCAGGTCTGAGTGGGTTCACTATAGTCATCCACCTTGTGTCCTTGTGTTTTCAGTGCAAGCCAGGTTCACACACAAGCAAAGGCTTTCAGACAGAGCTCTACACTGGTTTTACAGTAGCAATCCTATTGAAAATAGTGGGGATTCCTCATTGGGAAGAGCCAGTTCACAGCTATGATAGAAAAATACTATATATTACGTCATTTCCTGTGCTCAGTACTCAGCATTGTGAAAAAATCCGGTCACTTTTGTCTGTGTTGCATTTACTATATGTATTATACTAGATACATTCCCTCATATTTTAAAGAATCACTCCCCTCCATACCATGGCATGTCAATAAGAAAAGTAAATAAAGGAATGCTGCATTTATTTGAGCAACTTGCAGTAACAGTTGGTCAGTTCTTGAAAAATTATTTCAATAGTACATTTGTAATTAGGTGTTATATTCTTCTATACTGTATGCATACAATATAAAGTAGCACACAAAACATTTTAATTATATGTTTATTATATTTTTGTGAAATGTTTTGTTATAAAATGCATTAACATATTTATACATTTGTATAATTATAAGAAAAATGAAGGTATAAGGGAAGAGGCACTTGATAAAAGCAAGAATATTTTTCTTTCAGAAAACATTTCAGTGTGTGTTTTTGAGATATTAAATATACTGTTTCATATTTTCAGCATCCTGCAGTTAACTTCACAAATGTTAAACCTATTAGATCAATAATCAGCTCAGCTCATTTTTTGTTAGACACGATAATGAGACATTTTACTTGTTAAAGGGGGAAACGTCAAAGCAGGACAATTGGCTTCTTCATACAACTCCAAGCATTTCACAGTTATTTCTTGTTAACCTATGACACATCTAGTGTTTATGGTAAAATGACCAGTATAACATCACAATATAGGAGTGCAGTTTTATCGATCTTAATACTTTGTTGGTATAAGATTTGGAGTCTGATGGCACCTGATGCTGAAATCCAATAAACGGTTATGGTTTTCAGATTAAATCAGTTCTGTTTTCTCAGGACTTTGATAATGACATCAGAACAGTTTCTTAATGACATGAGCAGGTGCAGACAAGGTCCAGTCCTCTGTTCAAGGACCATGTACTCATGGATATCAGTGTAGATAGGAACATTAATACTAAATCTGATTTTTAAATGTCATTTTTTTTTCAAATCATCTCCATTATGAATCCCTTTCTCTTTCCCCACTCATGCATTTTTGCTCAAGGGTAATGAATTCTGCAGGGCATAAAGCTTTTTGAGTACATAAATTGCGATATAATTCTTTTATGATTATAGCCTTTTTAAACTTAATAAGCATATTGATTTCAGCTGCAGTTTTTCCCTCTGAAATAACCACTTCTGTTAGAAAATAAACAACAAAAAGCCATTGGCAGGAGCCCAGACCCCACAGCAAGGTTCCAAAGAATCACAAACCCAAACAGCTGATTGACTGATGAGAGTGGAGCCATATCTCATGTAAACAACACATTTTATGTCCATGTGTATGTACAGGTTCAGATCTAGCATTGTGTTTTGGTCATTTTAGTTTGTCTGAAACTTGTCTCCTTCCTTCATGCTCTAGTTGCATGCGTTCTCAGAAAGGCACAAACACGACACAAGGCAGAAGGTCTCTGTATCTTAGCAACAGGCTGCTGTAATTACTGTGACAGAAATACATTAGTATGCCAGATATGAAACAATATGCCGTTGCTGTTCTCTCTCTGCTATTGGCTTAGAGAAGCCATCACCATCAACCTTACCTCCCCATTTAATGCTGAAGCTGGGTAATCTGGTAAAGTAGTGCCTTTCTGTACCGTAATAGAGCAAGTACTGTGTACACCTCACACACCTTTTCTGTTGCGCACAGACATCCCCTGGATGGAAGCCAGTGACCCTGCAGGCTCAGAAGCCCAGAGATCTCATTCCCTTGCCATGCCACGCTTCTTTTGTTTAACAGGATCCCAGCCAGTGGCTCCATTGCAGGAGAACACTACAGCCGCTGTGTTTTTATTGTCTCCAACCTACTGTCACATCACCAGTGATTTGTCTACCTCCCCCCCATCGTCCCAGCTCCCATCCTTTACCGCTGTTTGTGCTCCGGCACACACTCACATGCACACTGACACCCACACTCGTACACACACACACACAAAAGGGATGTAAGGTGGTGTAGCCTAGCAACAGGCGAGGTAATTACCGTGACAAGCTAGGAGCTGGCATGCCATATAGCATGTGGAGAAAACAGCCGATCTGATTTGTGCAGAAGGGGGAAGGGGAATTTTCTCCTTAGTATGGTACAGCAAATGCTTATTTGTGCTTATTTTTGCTTGATGGAGATAATAGATTTTTTTGTTGAGCAAACTGCATTTTGTAATGTACTTCATACAGGTTTAAAGGAAAAAAACACAGTTCTTAAAAATTATACATATTCTGTATATAATAATCTGTAAAAAATATATCTCTTCTATAAAATTGCATTACATGATAAGTTCTATACATGAATCTATGTACATTTCTCTTTTTCAGCATGTAAATGGACACTCAGAACTTTGTTAGACTTTCTTCTGACATGCATATAATCCCTACCACTAAAGCACAGCAGAGAATGGCTGTAAGCAACATCAGGCTGGCCAAGAAAGTCCCCAGACTGCAGTAGAACACACCTGCTCTCCCGCTAACGGACAGGATGCTCCTTAGAGTATTTGGCAGCTTGGGAAGTTCACCAGTCGGTTTGCTAATCCGGTCAGTCCACCTGGGCAAGATCCACCATAGGAGGACTCCCTGGCCCATTATGATTATTCCATTCCATTCGAGCATAGCGTTGTATGTACTAGGTGCATGCCAACGGGCACGTGAAAAATGAGGACAGTATATCACATACATACTAGAATATTCAGCTGAACATTACAAATAATGTTTGTAGCATTGGAGGTCCATTGCAGCTTTAGGCCAGTTTTCTGTGAATTTTTTTGAGGCCACAATAAAAAAAAATAGGTGGAGACCCCATCCTTTTTTGGGAAAAGCTGGTAAGCCACAGGCAGCTGTTGTGCTCGCTCTCCCTGTGGGTCACACACACCCCGGGGTGTAGGAACCAGGGGGGGCATGTACCCCCCATTTAATTTGGCTTCTTTCATCATCACCCCCCCCCCACCCCCAAGAAATAGAGTTTTGCATTTAAATTATTATGAGGCATCCCCACCCAATATCAAATACAGTCCTACACACACCTCCAGCTAGACAATGGTTCTTACAAACTTACTGAAGACAGTAACTAATTATGACTAATTGTGTGTTTTTTATTCATAGGTTCTAGGACAAGGAGGCGAAGTGAAAGCTGTTAACGGGGTCTGTGAACAATGGGCCAGTGCGGAATGGGGTTCCACGGTCTCCTGTGAGTACCAGACGAGAGGCAGCCACGAGGACGGACGAGGGGGCAGCCAGAGGAGGGGGAGGGGGAGGGGCAGGAGGAGCAGTGGCCAGCAGGGGACAGACAGGAGTGTCTAAGAAGTACGAGGGATGGCCAATGGGAATGAGAGCAGCGAAGGGCCCAGCATCCCCCTGGCGGCAGCTGTGGCAGCAGGAGGAGTGGCAGGTGGAAGCTCCTCATCACCCGTGTCCACCTACGCAAAGCTGGTGCTGCTGGGCCTGATCATCTGCATCAGCCTGGTGGGAAACCTGGTGGTCTCCCTGCTCGTCCTGCGTGACAGAGCCTTGCACAAGGCGCCCTACTACTTCCTGCTAGACCTCTGCCTGGCAGACACCATCCGCTCAGCCGTCTGCTTCCCCTTCGTCCTGGTGTCCATCAAGAACGGCTCCGCCTGGACCTACAGCGTGCTGAGCTGCAAGGTGGTGGCCTTCATGGCCGTGCTCTTCTGCTTCCACGCCGCCTTCATGCTCTTCTGCATCAGCGTCACGCGCTATATGGCCATCGCGCACCACCGCTTCTATTCCAAGCGCATGACCTTCTGGACCTGCGTGGCCGTGGTCTGCATGGTGTGGACCCTGTCCGTCGCCATGGCGTTTCCGCCCGTCTTTGACGTGGGCACCTACAAGTTCATCCGAGAAGAGGACCAGTGTATCTTCGAGCACCGCTACTTCAAAGCCAATGACACGCTGGGCTTCATGCTGATGCTGGCCGTGCTAATCCTGGCCACCCACGTAGTCTACATGAAGCTCCTCCTCTTCGAGTACAAGCACCGCAAGATGAAGCCCATTCAGATGGTGCCAGCCATCAGCCAGAACTGGACCTTTCATGGGCCAGGCGCCACTGGCCAGGCAGCAGCAAACTGGATAGCTGGATTTGGCCGCGGCCCCATGCCGCCAACTCTGCTGGGCATCCGGCAAAACCTGCACAACCAGAACCGGCGCCTGTTGGGCATGGAGGAGTTCAAGGCGGAAAAGCGGCTGGGCAGGATGTTCTATGTGATCACTCTGTTCTTCTTGGTGCTCTGGTCCCCTTACATAGTGGCCTGCTACTGGCGTGTCTTTGTGAAAGCCTGCACCATTCCTCACCGGTACCTCTCCACCACTGTCTGGATGAGCTTTGCCCAGGCCGGGGTCAATCCCATCATCTGCTTCTTCCTGAACAAGGACCTGAAAAAGGGGCTGCTGGCTCACCTGCCTCCCTGCTGTAGGACTACACCTCAGCTGCCCCGTGAGCCTTATTGTGTCATGTGAAAGGAGAGGGAGGGGGAGGGGCTGACAGCAGGGCAGGCAGCAAAGGCACGAACAGCCTGAGGGACCACATGAGTTTGTTGTGGCCTTTGATTCAGTGCAAGATGCATTAAAGGTTGGGTGTAGAGAGAAGAAAGCAGAGGATTTCTACTATATTTTAATTTCTCTCTATTAGAGGAGAAGTTTTCTTATGTCCAGTTCTAAAAGGAACACATCCAGTTTTAAAATGCATACAAGAAGTCCAATTTGAGGATTATGTCAGGCCAGAGGTGTCACACAAGGACAACAACTGCAAAGCTGTTATTGTCTTGGAGGTAACTGTTATTGCTACATTAATTATGCTTTTGCAGGTTTAACAAGCAGGTCATCCAGCAGAAATGCCTTTACAGGTATTCTAAAGATGTTTGGTCTCAACAAAGACTGCTTTATATAATAATCTAAGACATATTCCAAACACTCAATACTTCTGGAGAACTACTTAGTTCAGGAACCAAATTTAATGCATGTATATAATCTAAGCTTTGATGTGAAATGAATGTAAAATTTATGGAAAAGTTAAAAATTAGACTTATTCCGATCCCAGGGGGTAATTTTCTCTCCAAGACACAGTGCACCTTTGGCAGAGTTGGGCCTCAATCTGGGCCTGCTGAAATGCTGAGCGAGATTTCAGTCCAGCCGGTATCCCAATTCTCAAGCAGACACAGGTACTGATTGGCTGCCTGAGCTGTTTCCTCTGCTCTCTCACAGACAAAGTCACATGATTCACGCTGGACATCCACAGTGATGGTGCAGCCTCAGTTTTCCTCATCTGCGTGAATCAAAGGCAGCACTAACACGGTCAAGGTGAAATATATTTATGTATATTTCCAAGTTTCTGTAAATTATAGCATATTCGGGTATTCTATTGCCTTGCCTGGCTTTAAGGTCCTCTTTGATTATGATAAATTATTATTATTGATGTGTTTATTTATCTTAAACTTATTTATAGGTTGGTTTGACAAACGTAAAGGTACTTAAGTCCTTTGTTGCACATTCTGACCTTTTCATGTCCTTTAAAAGCTGTATTCCAATAAGAAGTACACTGGATTAAATGGTAAATTCATGAGAGTGAAACATGAGAATACTGTGCAAATACATTGGACACTGTACACAAGGGCTTTTACAGCACACGAATAATTTAGCAGAAGACCTGAATTGTTCTGTTCAGATTTTTCAGACAAATGAGGGAGGAACATATGTTGAGAAATGGATTTAAAGATGGAATTTAAAGACTGGTTACCTGGCAATAGAAATGAGCGGAAACCTAAATCCTTGCGATAAGACACATAATAATCACAAACTTGTTGAAAGTAAAGAAAAAGGAATTTTATATTAAAACAAAAAAGCTGAGCCATATTAATGACAGCTCAGTCTCTGTTTTTGGTATGACCTAACCAATGCTTTCAATTCATGAAATATGGTACAACACATTAGTACAGAGGCGTCATCTTCACAACTGATGTTCCTGCCTCAGCCGTAATCAAAGGAGGGGCTTATTGTTCTATTTCAATGAACTGCAATTGTCAAACAACAGGAGAAAAAAAAGTGAGGGCAAAAATAAAAAAAGGCTCTAGTGAATCAGTTCACACAATTTGTTGTGTTACTTATCGCCTAACTGTTTCGTTGCTTTAGTCAGCGTTGCAGACTAAATGAAAGGTGTGACATACAGCAGTGAAAGAATGATGACTTATAATGTAAATCAGCCACGAGGGACAAAAGTAGCTCATTTCTAGCCTGGTAACTTTCTTTGTGACTTTCTGACAAAAGGTCATGATGGATGACAGATTAGGACATATGACACAAAAGGGCCACGGCACCTGGAAGCAGGCCATAGTGAACAGTGCAGGTTCGAAAGGCGATGAGCACTCAGACACAGGCATTAAAAACGTAATTACATCCATCCACCTTCTAACCTACTGTCAGTGTCACACGGCACACACATGCAAAACTGATATATGCATTTAGTAGAGAACTATTTCAGTCTGAAGGCTGGCACTGCTGTTAAGCAGTAATGGGATGCCAGGTCGAAAATGTCATTTACTAAAGAAGAACAATTTTGATACCGGACATGGTCACCCTGTAATGTCAGCAACTTGCAGGAGTGATGGAACGTGAAACGTTTCATATTTTGAGTCATTTCTGCTGGGAGGAGTTTTTTTTTATATAACAATGAGTGAAAAAAGAACAGTCGTCTCTACTAATCAAACAATGAATGGTGAATTTTGGTAGAAAAGAATACCAGTGTATTTTAAATACATGATTAGTTGATTATATCAAACGAGATATAAAAAAACATAAAATACATATACTGGTAAAGGAAGTAGGGAGTAATACCTATTTACCTAAGATAATACCAGATTAATTTGTTTATTTATTTATTGGCTAGAATGAGAAAATAAAATAAACAAAACACATGGTAACAGTTAATGATCCAAGACTGTTTGTAATGGCCTTATATTGTGCAGTGTCAGATGGGGTACATAATTATACAGATACAATTTGTTTTTGTGTGCCTGTTTTTTCCCCTGATATCCAGAAATGATAAAAGAAAACCAGTGGAGAAAATTGCCTATTGGAGGATGCATCTTCTACCTTTGCTCATACAGAGAGGAGTAACAACCCCCTCTATCCACCAGGAATTGAGTAAAAAAAAAACACACCGAAGAGGAGCTAAAATACAAAAAAAACATTTTGGCAAATGCGACAAGTGGACAATTTTGCACATTGAGGAGAAGAGACCAGAATAGGGAGCTGATGCTCTTGAGGATTTAACAACGGGAAATGATTCGTGTGGATTTCTTGCAGAGACTTTTACTCATTCTGGGGGGTTGTGTGGGTTTGGGATGAGGAGATGCGGAGTAGTAATGAAGCGGATCACAAAGTGGATGGGGGGGTAGAGAACAGCTTTTTTTATTGATCATAAATGCCTGTTCTGACTTTTTGAGTTTCATCAGGCATACTATCTTTTGTAAATTAACTGTGACCGCTGTACTATCCAATGTGTATAATATGGACAATGGAGTATCTTTTGGGGTGGGGTTCTTGGTCAGATTTATACCACGCATGTCTGTGTGTATGTGTGTGATTGTGAGCGACAGATGATTGGCTAAGAGGGAGGGTCATTCCACATATCTGAAAAGAAAAATGGCCACATACCCTAGAGCTTTGTTTTAAAAATGTTGACTCCTGTTAATGCTTTGCTCAGTCTCTCTTGGACTCTGTACAAAAGATGTACAGAAGCAACGCTGTGCGTCAAGTCATCTTAAGCTTGCTCTAACTGGACAGTAGTGTTTAATCCCAAATTAAATCCAATTTCAGAATGCTGGATTTCCAAAGAATTTTGAATTGAGACATCCCAGTATCCATTAGCAGATTAATAAATGGATGATAAACTAAAACCTATAGCAAATAAGAATGAATTGCTGCCCAAACAACATCTAAGCTATGGGTGACTATGGGAAACTAAGATATCAGACTTGCTGTATAGATGGTTTTAAATACAAGTAAGCCGAAACTAAGAACATCAACTGAAGGTGGACTTTGCTGGTGTCTGCATTAGTAGCAGTTAAAACTTGTGGGTGGTTGGTTTCAGCCCTTTTATATTTTACGAGTTTTCACTTTTCAACTCCACTAAAATGTTGTTTTCTGTAAGAAGTCCCCAGTTGCCCAACACTGACAGTTTGTTACTTTTGTCACCACGAGTTTCCTATTGAACTAGTATAACGTTGGGTGACACCTTAATCACTTTTTTTCCCCTCAGTAGATCCGTGGTTGGCAGGGTAGTGTTTCTTTTATGGGAATTTCTCATGGGAACCAATTTTTTAAACACTCAGAGTTTGTGAAGTGAAATAAAACATTTTAACTGTGGAAAAAGGCCCTGGTAAGTATAAACTGATTTTCTAAAAAGTGACGAGATGTTCATTTTTTTTCCTTTTATTTTTTGCAAGAATTCTTAATTCATCAGACATTCAAAGTTAATCTAGAACCTAGATTTAACCCAAGATAGAAGATACTAAAATTTTTTTTTTTAGATATTTAAAAGGAAAAGTCAATCACCCACCTAACAGAAGCTGTTACAATTTAGGGTACATTTTTTCCATGAAAAGCTATATGCAATTCCAAAGAAAATGATATAGTGACAATATTAATCTTGTGATTACAGATACTGAAATAGCTAACCCTATATCTATTCATTAATATGCTTTTTAACCAATCCACTGCTTCTGCCATTCATAAAATAGTATTTAGTTTTACAATCATAATTATGTTCTGAAATGGTCTTCTGAAAGTGGAAAGTCAAAAATCACACTACATAAACAGCATACATGATCTTCCAAAAACAGTATTAAATAATGAAGAACATCAGTATTTTAGTCCTGCTTTGGTGTTAGAGCACTTGCTTTGTTCAGAAATAGCATAGCATAGTTGATTCTGCAACCTATACAAAATGTCATTGAAAGGTGAAACAAAAACTGTAAATATCAAACCATGATTAAGATACATTGTGAGGTAATATTTATCATACGTAGTACCGGTTTAGAGATTTAAGAACAACCCATTTTGGAATTCCGCTAAGAAACAAGGTCTGAACATAAATTCTGTAAGCACTACTGTCCTCTTGGCCCACTTACAGTAATTAGTCAGGAGTAACATTTTTCATAATCTCAAGTATGTGGTAAACTATATAAAAAAAAGCTGAAGGTGGGGTAGACAGATGAATCAAAGATTCCACGTTCTTTTCTGTACATTTGAAGTGGGTTTTTTGCCATCCTGCCAATAAAAGTCTACTTTTGATGCATTTCAACTACTTTTTTCAGTTCCAAATGAAAGCATACTATTTGCATGAAAAGACAGTTATTCTAACAGGAAGGAAATTACACAATGCGGTATAAACACATGTAATAGCAGTTGTGTTTTGCTTAATCAGACCTGTATCCGACATCTCATGGAGAAAGGGCAAGAAAAATAACAATACTAAACTACGAAATTAAAACCAATAATTAACAATTTGTATCAAAAATTATATGATTATGGTGGTTCTCAATAGGTTTACTTGGCACCCTGTTAGATATGGCCAACAATACTTACTTTTGGCAAGACAGCTTTCCAGTGTAATGTAAAGTAGCAACAACTGCAATAAAGCAGATGGTAAAGGTTTCATTCCCACTGAGCTATTGACTAACTAGCTTTAATTAGATGTTCCATAAGTTAAGTTAAATCCAACATCCATGAAGAGTACTTGAAAAATCATCATATTTACATTTATCCTAATGAAATTAATTTCCTTTAACGTGAGTTCTGAAATAAATACCCGTCCATGGGGGGGGTGGTATGTGGCCCAAGAGGGCAGAACCGTGCTCATAATTGGAAAGTCACTGCTTCAATTCTGGAAGTTGGCAGAATTATCATTGCGGCCGTGAGCAAAGCCCTTAACCACAACTGCTCCAGGGATGGGATGACTCTTTTTCTCCATTATAAGTTACTTTTGCACAAAAGAGCCCTTAAATATGAGCCCTTAAAACAAAATTAACCAATCACTGATTAAAAACAAAGGGCAGATTTTTTTAGTTCATATTTTATACCATTACATGCATTCCTCCACAGAGTTTAAAATGAACCTTTTCCTGTTTTACGTAATTTACACAGGACAACGGATTCAACCAGCAGCTGCAGGCCACTTCATTTCTCACATGGAATAAAGCTAAGCACACCTACCCTACACCAGCCAAAAGGAAAGTGTGTGAACCCCAGGATAAGCCCCAGAGCAGCTGACCATATAGGGAGAGCTGCCGATAAGGAGAGGAAGATATTCCTGAAACAATAACTCAGCACAAGTTGGTGATTGTTTCTCAGAGTGGGGGGGGTACGGATGGTACGAGCGGAAAGAACAAGGACCTGATCTGTCATTGATAAAAATTTAAGAGTAACGGAAAGGGGGCAGGACGTGAATGCCTGATTGTGTTTTAGATTTTAATATTTTACTTATATTTGTGTGAAAGATCTATATTCAAGAGTTCAAGGGGAAAGTTAGATTCTACTGGTCAAATCACCTAAAAAATTACTTAACCTAGAAGAGGACATTCTCCCTTGCCGCCAATTTTAAAACAGCCTCCTTCCAAACTTATGTATAAAAATGACAGATTAAATGGAAAAAAGACTTGTTCCTGTTACATTGATGAGGGACTTTTCCCCCATTTAATAGTGGGGGGAAAAAAAAACATATGACACAAAATCAGGGGTGAAAATATTATTTACAATCTGGAAAATGAAAAGAAAAAAAGACAGACATTTCTGTTTATGCAGTATTTGCAGTAATGGCATAATATTGGGCAACACCATGGAAATTTTTAATCAGGAGATTAAAATTAGCTTGTAGTTCAAAATTCATCCACTTTTTACATATTATGAAATAAACAACAGAACCTTTATTTAAAAATAAGATCTAAGAAATAAAAATTAAACCTTTCCAAGTAAAAAAAAAAATCTTAACGTTTTGAGAACAAGTTCATAGTTAACAGAACAATTGTCCCATCTAGTGGAAACTAGGAGTATGATTTTGAGTCTAACTTTTCTGAAAAACATGAGTTTGTGACACATGCATATATATTAGGGCTGGGTATTGCTCGCTTGCCCAGGAAACGATATAAATCAAGATAGCAGAGGCGTGATTCAATGCATCACTAAAATACCGTTGTAGCATATGCTGGTTGGCACTCCAACATTAAACTGACTAAAATGTCAAATGTAAAGCATGCCTGTACCTACCCAAGGAGTCAGTTCCTGGAATAAAGCCATTGCACAGATCAACTCAGTTGCATAAATTATGCATTTCTTTGTGCAAACAAATTGCACATTTCTGCTTTTAAAACAGCAAATATAAAAAAAATTAAATGAACATTTGACCTGTACTTTAATATTTCAGAGGTAGACCATTCTGCATTGCACTGCACTTAGCATAGGCTACATAAACAGCACAAACAGCACTCCAAATGCTGAAAAAATGTTTGTAACACAAAACATCTGACATTCTACCAGCACTGAAATAATGAATTGATGCAAAGGTTCAAAATATCGAAAAATTGTGACAAACCAAATTGCAGTTTAACGATTAATTGCATTACTGATCCAAATCTTATACACATGAAAGAAATGGAAGTTTGATATAAACACGAACTTAAGTGTCTGCAAAAAGCAATGGGAACAATAAAGTTTTATTTACATAAGCTTTTACAAAATTTATTCATCCAGTCTCAATGATATACATGTGTGTATAAAACAGTCCATACTAAACATTAAAAATGACAGAATGACAAACACAATGTTGGACTTTGGCGACAAACCTAATGACTAAACTGCACAAGAGTCAAGTCTGTTATTGGAAAAACAATCTAAACACCAGAATGCAAGCCAGAACATCACTTCGGAAACAGTTTTGCATTCATTCATTCACATTTTACTTCACTAACCATTCATTTGAAGATGACCACAGAAGCTGCAATATCTTTTAGATTAAAATGTGTAAACATACAATAATCAAAATCAAAGAACATTTTAGAGATTTTTTTTCTTGCACAAAACCATAATTGCACCAAGAAACGTGGATGACTCATGAAGTTTGTAGCTGGTCTTTGGTTAAGATGACAGTAATTCACTGTTCAACTATTAATTTCATACAGATCAAAGGAGAACAGAACCAATCAAATAAGGTCCAAGCATGCATTACTCAGTATTTCAGAAAATAAAGATTAGTTTTTCCCCTAAGAACCATTCTACTGCAGGGAACGGGGCAGACCAAAATGGAGGCAGATTGCTACTTGTGTGTGGGTTCTCCTGTATTACAAACACTTAGTGCCAACCCTAAGAAATGGATAAACTACACCCATCCAGACTATTCAAGAAATACAGCATGAAAGCCCCCTGAGTAAGAGTTTCTGGAATATGGCCACTACTTCTACATCAACAGACCAAGAAACAAGAAGCACTTTAAAAAGACAGCGGTAAAAGGAATTAAATAAAGGCATAAAAGTCTTCTGAATTACTTTTCTTCTTTTCACAGTTGCTAGTAACTGATCCTATCGATAGAACACTGAAGTGATTTTCTGTTTTTTAAAAATATGTTAAAAATGTAGACTGTGTACCACAAACCAGCAAATGGTAAAATTATAAAGAGAAAAAAATGAAATTCAAAATTGCTTTGCCAGATCTCACCTCAGGCAATATCACATTCACTTTTGTTCACAAGATAGCATAAAATATTTAGAGCAAGAGGTCATATTTACAACCAACTGGATATAGTGATGGATTAAAAAAAAAAAACAGACATATTTTCAACCCTTGACTGACTGGCTACCTGTAGGATGAAGGTTTGGCACAAGTGCTGAGAAAGGCACAGGATACTCGCATGTCATCTCATTACACGTAGTTACAGTGTTAAACCACAGAGGAAGAGCTACGTTTATATCCGAATACACGTGTCCTGCTTTTACAACCTGAAACGCAACTGATTTTCATTTCCTAGCCCTTTGTTCATTTACATGCAAGCCTTCCAAAAATATGAATAGACGTGTATGGTTCTGTAAGCCATACCGAGATGTGCACAGAGTACAACACACTACAAATACATGTACTTCTGCGCTTCCACAAACATATACATGAACTGCACAGATCAGAACAATTATAGGTCATGGGGTGAAATGGGCAGCAATTCCAGTGTTCATATTCACCCATTTTAAAAGTATGCTTTTAGATAAGGGAACTGCTGAGGAAGTTGTTAGCTTAGTTTACACATAATGTCATTTAGTAGAACGTTTTCATCAAAAGATGATCACAAATTAGAAAACTGTTGGTAGTGCACCCAGCTTCTTGGGGGGAAAAGTCAAATCTAAACATTGCAGTTTTCCACTGAGACCAGGCTTAAGGTTAATTCTGAACTTTGCAAGTTCGTGGAGGAACAATCTCCATTCACAGTACCATATAGTAGCTTTAATGCTACCTTACCGTACTTCAGCCCTCTCTCGTATCATCCCACTTTTTTCCTGTTTCAGCCACCAACAGATTAAGAAACAGGGCGATTCCACTATCTTTAAAAAAAAATTAATGAAAACGTGCCAAAATGAAAGACGACATAAAAAATGGGGAAAATAAACAAATTGATTTAAAAAGAGAAAATACTGTACAACAGCCACTCAAACCACACACTCCTCCATGATGATCAATGTTTACATTCTATACAGCTTAAAACAAATACTTTCGACAGGACTCCACTCCACACTTGCACTCCACTCTAACCCGCCTCTTTGGGGAACCTGGAAGGCCAGCCCGACTGAAATTCGAGTCCATTCTTGTGCTCTCTGCATCCACTGGATCAACTGAAAACAAATTGAGGTGGGAGTATGTCAGTATAAAACTACATTAAGGCGTCAATTCTTATAGCTGTATACAAAAAGCCACCATCTGTAATGATCAGAAATGAACACCACCAGGTGTTTCACTACATTTTATAAAATTACAACCAAGTGTAGCATGCAAGTCTAACCTACCATCACAGAATGGAACTGACAAAATGATTGGCACCATTAATAAGCTGCAATAAATTAATGCATTTCAAGCAGGTAGTCCTGCTATCATTTTCACTTCATCTCACCCATTACAAGCAACACACTGAACCAGTTTAAATGGAGGAAAAGTCAATCATAACTGTTTTGTGTGTCTGTGTATACCATAGTGCAAGAAAAAAGGTAAAAGTAGAAAATTGTATGAAGAGGAAACAAGAATTTTTGGGGATTTAAGGAACTGTGGCAGCTTGGATCGAAAACTGGTTAACTGACAGGAAGCAGCGAGTGGTTATTAGAGGCACGATGTCACAGTGGGCCTGCGTTCATAGTGGGGAACCGCAGGGTTCAATTTTAGGACCACTATTGTTCCTAATTTACATTAATGATATTAACACCAATACATACAGTAAACTGGTTAAATTTGCAGATGACACTAAGGTGGGTGGTGTAGCAGATACTGATCTAGCAGCAGAGAGGCTACAACGGGATCTGGATTTAATTAGCGACTGGGCTGATACTTGGCAAATGAAATTTAACACAGATAAATGTAAGGTAATCCATGCAGGGAGCAGAAATATAGAAGTACAGATATTTTATGGGTTCCACTGAAATAAAAGGTAGCTGATTACGAGAAAGATCTCGGAGTGTATGTTGATGGTTCCATGTCCCACTCTCGCCAGTGTGGGGAAGCAATAAAAAAGGCCAATAGAATGTTGGGTTATATCTCTAGGTGTGTGGAGTTTAAGTCAAGGGAGGTGATGTTACATTTATGTAATTCCTTGGTAAGACCCCACCTGGAATATTGTGTGCAGATTTGGATACCATACCTTAAGAAGGACATTGCTGCCTTAGAAAAGGTGCAACGGAGGGCTACGAGAATGATTCCTGGTCTTAGAGGAATGTCTTATGAGGAGAGGTTAGCTGAGCTGAATCTGTTTAGCCTTGTGCAAAGGAGACTAAGGGGGGACATGATCCAGGTCTATAAGATTCTAACGGGTCTGGATGCTGTTCAGCCAAATGACTATTTCAATATTAGTTTAAATACTAGAATTCGTGGCCATAAGTGAAAATTAGTGGGAGAACATTTTAAAACAAATTTGAGGAAGCACTTCTTTACACAGCGTGTAGTTAGAGTATGGAATAGTCTTCCTGCTAGTGTAGCGGAAGCTAAAACCCTGGGTTCCTTTAAATCAGAGCTAGATAAAATTTTAACAACTCTGAGCTATTAGTTAAGATCTCCCCAAACGAGCTTGATGGGCCGAATGGCCTCCTCTCCTCTCGTTTGTAAATTTCTTATGTTCTTAAGAAATACTGTGGAAAATCATGGACAACTGCATGGTTACAAGTCCATCTCTAGACACCTTCATGTTCCTGTGTCCACTGAACACAGTCTTATCAAGAAGTTTAAGGTGGATGGAAGCAAAAAGTAGATGAAAACTTTTAGCGAATTGCTTGAAAAGTCGAGAATGAACCTCGATCAACTGTCACAGATTCAAGCTGACTTTCAGATGTGGTACAACAGTTTCAACTCGTACTACGCTTCACTAACAATAAGGTAGGAGACCCAGGAGGGCCCCAACCTAACAGAGACATAAAGCCAGACAGCTTGCCAAAACAAACAAGAACAAGCCAAAACTTTCTGGGACAATGTACACTGGATGATGAGGTGAGGGCAAAATTAGAGCTGTTCGCCGAAGCACACCTTTATGTTTACAAAAAACAGAAGGAAGCCTTCAAAAGAAAAGAACACTATTCCTCCAGTCAAAGGAGGAGGAGATTCACAGGTGTTTTGGGGTTGCTTTGCTGCCTTTGGCACTGCATGCCATGAAACTGTAAATGGCATCATGAAATCTCACGAGAGATTTCCCCCTATTTTTGTAGCGCAGTGTTGTACCCAGTGTCAGAAAGCTTGGTGTCCATCAAAGATCATGGTTCTTCAAAAGAACAATAACTCAAAGCACACTTCAAAAAGCACCAAGTTTTGGCTTCTCTTTCCCCCACCCCAATATTTTTGTGCTATTCCAATGCAAATTAGAAATTACCTATGTTAACAATAACATATCTGAGGGTCAACATCTTTGCTGACGAACTGCTGCATTATCTGGAAAAAACTGCAGCTATAGAACTATACTTAGTTCCAAAAGCATGCACCACCTCCACACATGCAGAGGCCTTATCCACTTACTTTGCATTTTGTAGTCGAAAGTGAGCTCCTCACCAGGTTTGATGTGACGGGTGGAGAAAAAGGCTATTCTAGGCAGGCGCTCATCGAGGTTGTCAATAAACACGTTGTAAACCTGCAGATTTGGGTTGCACTGCAGCCAAGGAGCAAAGACAGACATATACTAGTCAAAGGACTGCCGTGGAAAGAAATTCCCCAAACGCAAAACTGCACGCACACACACAAAGTTTGTTCATTTTGAACAGCAGACAAACCAAAGTGAATTGGTGTACACACAAGGGAATGCGTGCAAGTTTTATAAATTAAAAATTATAATAAAGCTGGCAAGTTAAAAAAAAAATAAAAAATGCACAGCTAGGACAAGAAAAAACAGGTCTGCAAGATGTGCGATATTAATGCACATGCAACTGTCACATTGAAAGGAACGTGATACTGCTGATACGTGATATGGTGGCAGCCAGCTGACTAAGTTTACTGTTGGAGGAAACAAAATTTAGCAAGCTTTGTTTTTTTTTTTTTTAAGGAACAGTCATTAAAATTACAATCTTAAGTTAACAGCCGCTTTTGCATGAGCTCTGCATGACATGCACACTCCAAGCCGATTGTAATCATTTGCGTCCTTTTTACTTGTGCATAGAGTGCAGCGTGTTTGCTAGAAATTTCACAGAAAAAAAAAAGTGAACAAGAACTGGCAGCCAAAAGAGATTCCTCTTCAATATTTAGACGACATTGAGCAAAAAGTAAACTGTCTGCACTGCGCCGTCTGCTGGCAGTCAGCAGCAACACCAGCAATTTATTTGACAGTTGGTGAATATTTGGTTATAGTTCATTACGGGGAGAATATTCAACTCCTATTGTTTCTAAATATCAGGAAAATAAATATATCAATGTGAATGCAGTCCTACTGACACAGACACAAAACAAAAAGCATAAAAATGTCTCTGCCTTTCTAGGGGGGAAAAAATGTAAAGCAACTTGCATAGTTACATTTTTTACTTTTTATCTACAGGCAGATACTTTTATCTAAAGCGACATACAGCTGGAAAATCAGGACCAGCAGGTTCCTGGATTAATTGTGGTTTAAGGTCTTGCTCAAATGCATGTCTTTACTGGACTGGAATCAGTAATGGAGCTGCAGCCATTCACTCAGAAGTAATCGTCTGCAGCCCTTCCCACAACAATACAAGAAAAAGACCAAAGACACCCCACCACACATACTCACACTATGGTTGACAAAATGGGAAATATTCCCATGGTTAGCAGCATCCACCGTGTACACGTCCTCCACATAATCCAAATCAAACAGGTATGTGGCACCTTGGCGATCGTAGATGTGGCCCCGTTTCTCTGCCTCCTCTGTTGTGATGATCTGAGACACAAGTGAGCCTGTCAGTCGTCAGTCAGCTATAAACCAAGACCGTGATCTGGCAGCAGCAGCAGTCGCCAGACTAAATGAACGACAGAGACTGATCTAAGCCAGCCAGCTTATATGGGATCAACAATGGGGCGACCTTCCTATTTAACGGACATACCATAATAAGTTCCCAGCTACCTTAAGAGTAATATTTTCTGTTGTCAATTAAATTCAGTCAGTCAATGAAGACAAAAGCTTCTACAGCCAAATAAAATGTTTGGAGCTATTACACTTAACACTTGAAAGGAAAAATTCATTATCTGTAAGCCTGAATTATTAGCATAGCTGGATACATGTAAATGTGCTTTATAATGACACAATGCCAAAAAAACACACTTGCTATATTTGGTAGTAAATGTTCATGCACTTATGCCAATTCAAAGTGATGTAATTTATCAGACTATTTTAGGATGTTACTTGGCTTGGATTTATTAACCATATATGGAAAGGGGCACAGTGGGAGGTAGTTCACAAAGTGAAATTAAAATTAGAAAGTTTAACAATGCACCAATTTATTTCAAATAACTATTCACAGTTATTCCCCAGTTGCCAGACTAAACCTAAAATATTAATCATTGCTCTTAAAATACAGAAATCAAACACACGTTTTGAGTGCTGGAGCTGCCAGTCCGGCTAAAATTAGGGACTGTGCTTTGTTAAAATGGGATTAATACATTAAAGACATTTTTTATACTTTGATCATTTCAGATGAAAATGAGAAGGACATGAAATTCTGACATTTGCTGTTTTTTTTTATATAAACCTAGAAATAATTTGCTTTTGCCATTACACTAACAATTAGTTTTGCTGTGTGCTGAGACTAGCTTCATCAATCTGCAAAAAGTATAGTACAGGGGTCTCCAACTCCGGTGCCTGGAGAGCTACCGTCCAGTAGGTTTTCTATCCTACCTGGCTTCTGATGAGCCACACCTGTTCTCAGGTAAATACAGTACCAGGAGCAGGTGTGGCTCATCAGAAACCAAGTGGGACAGAAAACCTACCGGATAGTAGCTCTCCAGGACCAGAGTTGGAGACCCCTGGTATAGTACATACAGTATATTCCTAATCAACAAAACAGGCCACATTGATTCCTGACCAGCACGAGTCAAGTAACATTCAATTTTTAAGAACAACACTCCTGCACCTCGATATTTTGGGCCAATGACAGTACCAGAGCTTTTAATCAGGCAGAGAATTGCACATCACAATCCTAAGACAGAGGCTATTTACCACCCATGGGGGCCTGCGGATGGAAAAACTGCTTAAGGTTGCTAGATATAACTAGTGCTTGTGCTATGAATATATAATTATCTGCTTGTTGGGATAAGGAGCATGCATGGCAGCTTCATCCCGTGGTCAGCTGAGGGACCTTGAGAAACAAGCAGAATTGGAGGTCCAAACCTGGAATTTATGAAATGTGTTCAAAAGGGAGAGTCGTTTACTTTGTCAAAACTGCCTCGCATTCTTTAATGAGCACAGGATGAACCTAGGAGTTAGGTAGTTGGCACACAGAGAGGGAGCTCCCCATGAGAGAGAAAACAGATTTAGAAGAGCTTGGCTAGAAGCCTAGATATGTATCACATATGCATGTATTTTTATTACACAGTGAACAACCTGTGTATGAAGTAGTTCGTTAGGTCTTGAGAAAAGACACACATATGTTATCGCATCCTTGAAGTTTCTCATGCTTTAATAACAAGGTGGGATCCAGAATCAATCAAAAGGTAAGAGAGAGCAGTAAATCTATTAGAAAAGGGGAAGCACGGGTAGAACTCCCAGGCATGCAAAAAACCAATTGGGGGAGTAAGGGCAAGGTCATCGGCGGCACAAGTACCTAGTGTATAAGATAAGGAGGATTCCCTCCTGACGGTCTGAAATGTCTGTGCATCCTTGGCCAAGAATAGAGAGACAAAGACCTTTTCCTTCAGCAGCCTATATGCAGGCTCAAGCCCTCCACTTACCCCCAATGTCAGCCAAAGCATCTCCATACTGGCCATTGAGCTAGTAAAGACCTATCGGCAGGAGTCAGTTTAATACAGTGGGAGATGATAAGCTGTACAACATGAGAAACTAGACAGTCATATGCAGAGAGCAAGCAGTTACTTCCACCGGATTCTCTGCATGAAGACGCAGAGTAACCCAAAATGTTTCAGGAAAAATTAATCATGATCTCTAGGCTGTGATTCACTAGCCAGAAGTAGGAAAAAAATACAGATGCTCTTCTACTTGCGAATGAGATACGTTCCGCACGGCCGTTTGTAACTTGAAATGTTTGTGAGTCTTTATTCAGCATCATTTTAAGAGTATACACAAGTACAAAGAACTAGGATGCTGGGAGTCCGCACGCTACGCTGCTGCGCGGCGGGAATAGCGGCCAGAAATCATACTACGCGGAACTGGCGCGCAGAAAAAATAATTGATGTTGCGGACAGGAAACGGGAGCCCAACAAACACAATTTGGACTTACAGTCCTCTTCATTCGTATGTCTGAAAGTTCGTAAGTTGAAAGTTCGTAAGTAGAGGAGCGTCTGTATATATTACCGAAGTAACAGATTGGGCATACTGTGAGCAGCAGGCGGCTTATGACGAACCCACCATTAATCTCATGTAACTGCTATATCCCAATAGCAACTATCCAGAAAACATAATAAAAAGTACTAACACCCTTCCGGCGCCACTTTCTCTCTGCCCTCAAACAGCTTTCCACAAAGCTGCAGAGATCGACTTACCTCCCCGATGTACTCCATGACAAAGGTGTTTTTACGGATGTGTTCCATGGTGCGTACACCCCAACCACGTCCATCGTCCGTCTTAAAGATGCAGAGGTCAAACTGGATGCCCTTCTGCACGACACGGTTGGGGCAATCCATGCCACAGCAGCAGCGTGAGTTGCACTCGTAGATGGGCAAGCCAGCGCGCAGCTTGACCTGGCCTCGGTCATTGTAGGCGAAGCGGTGGAGGGACGCCCCAGCACAGCAGCCCTTCACCGGGTTGCCCAGGCAGTCGGCGCACTCGCAGCCCAACGTCACCTCGTTGAGCATGATGCCGTCGCCCACCTTGTAATTGTTGATGTAGGTGAAGTTCTTAGGCGGGCCCTCCAGGTCCACCTCGTTCAGCACGAAGATGCGGCCCTTGTGATTGCGCATCTTGTTGAGGTGAGCCTCCCAGCGCTGAAGCTCCTGCCGCTGTTTGGCCTTCTGCACCAAATAGGAGGAGATACTGCTGTCCAGCTTCTTGAGACTGCGCCTCTTCCTGTGCTTCCGGAGCTCCAGCTCCAGGTCGTGCTGGAACACCTTGAGAAGCTTAACGCACCGGAGGTTCTTGCGCGGCTCCCAGGTGTTCTGAGACTCAGGATAGCCCTTCCACTTCACCAGGTAGAACTCTTCATCCTGAGGGACATGCATTGCCCAAAACCATGTGAGGATTGCTGCTGTTAAAATTGCCCTTTACCTCAGTCTTGCCTCAATATTTCATTGGTCTTCAGTTTGTACACAAGAAAACATATGTTTAGGAATGTAGAGACTTATAATAGATTCTGAAAGTAAATTCTGAAAGCCACAGGAAGCCTATTCTGTAACCTTTTATTTTATTTGATTTGCTAAAGGGAAATACCCAGAAAAACTCAGGGGGATTCAAATGTTAAACATGGTCCACTAGGGGGGGTAACGGTATTCTGCATATTACTGAACCGTTCAGTACGCCCCAGACGGTTCGATGCACACACGAACTGCGGCATTACGATACGCCAACCATTTTCTTTTACGTATTGGCATGAATACAAGAAGGTATCTTTCCACAAAACAATACATCTAAATAACTGGAGTCTTACTTTCAAGGGCTAGAATTTAAATGTCATTACACAACAAACAGCGTAAACTGTCTGCCTCCTAGCTAAAGGTCGGCGTGCACTTCAAACATAATATACATCGTTTCAGCAATACGACATATGAGCAGTAATCCCACCCGATGCCGAAAATTGGCTGATATAATGTGACAATGTGGGGTTGGTCAGCAGCCAGCATGCTTTTCCCACATATCGCATATCTTTAAATGGTATAAATTAATGTATATTTAAGTTCATTATAAATGTCACAATTGTGTAATGTTTGCAGTAGAATGTGTGAGTTTCGTTAACGTGTATCTGAGTGCCATGTAAAATGCTGGTTTCCTTGTCTGTGTCTGTTAGTATTAAAAACAAGAACGGCTCAGAGCCAATAGAGTATTTCGTTTAAAATAAATAAATGAGTTGCCATCTTTATTAAAATGACTCAACCACCCACCACAATATGTTTTTAGCCCCCTTTATATGGGTCTGCTGCATCAAAAATGTTCTGCGCATTCTTGGGTTGTGCAATTTATTGATTATCTGTTGGTCTACACTTGCTGTGCTGTGATTGCTTCTCAACAGTGATATGCTTAATTTAGTACATTTCATCAAATAAAATTTTATTTCATCAAATAAAAAATGTTTTTCTTAATAAAGATAAGATTTGGTATTCCAAAGGTTTTCCTCCAAAAATTAATATTGCCCATACAGACACTGTATATATTAGGTACACTCTTCACTTACAATTATATAGAGAAAACACCGACATATCAAAGTTAAGCACTGTATTTTAATGTTTTTCTCTCCTTGATTCATACATTAGAGAATTAAACTAGGTTTTTCAGTCATTCTGCATTTTGTATCCTGTGTTATATGGAAAAGTAAAGGGTTCATTGTTTAATTAAAAGGATTGCGTTTTTATTTTCTTCTTAAAATACATCTATACCAAAACCATATTGTTACCGTGGACCAAAAACCATGATACACACAGAACTGTGGAAAGACGGTACGGTTACAACCCTGTTGTCCACAGACCTTTTGTCTGAGGGAGATAAGCACAATGGTAACGAAACCAGGCAACAGACATAAAACAACCAAAACTCCTCCTGACTTAAGACAGAAGATACACGGGCGTTTGGGTCAAAAGGGACTTTAACTATGCTTACAATATGATAAATAAAATGGCAGCCAAAATGAAAATGATACTGTGACAGTGACAGGCAACACTGTACGTGACAGTGATTTTAAAATATAGCTGCGCAATGTATTATATACTCCATACAATGCAACTTTATTACCTATTAAACTGCTTGACAATCTTCCCTATTGTTGTAAACCAGCAATACAGGAAATACACTGTGAAAACCACCAAAGAAAGGCCAGAGGTTTATATACCAAAATCTCTATTTGAAGAACAAAACCATCCCATCTCTGTCTAAGCACGAAAAATGACTTCTGACTTAATGGCTGAAAAGAAAAATAGGCAAGTCTAAAACTCACATACTATGTTTCAGGAGGACCTTAAAGATAAATTATAATATTTCTATTTGAGGAACATACAGGTATCTTCTACAGTTAGGAATCAGTCCTAACTTCACAATTTGATTTCAATTCACAAGAGCCTGATTGGAATACATTTTGTCTATTCAATCTATGCCAGGAGAACGTTACCTGTCTGACTGCATTGTGCCAGCTGTAAAGTTCGGTGGAGAAGGGATAATGGTATGGGGTTGTTTTTCAGGGATTTGGCTAGGGCCCCTTAGTTTCAGTAAAGGGAAATCTTAATGCTTCATCATACCAAGACATTTTAGATGATTCTATGCTTCCAACCTTGTTGCAAGAGTTTGGGGAAGGCCCTTTTCTGCTCCTGCATGACTGTACGCAAGGGCAAGAAGGATGGTCCATGAAGACATGGCTGGGTGAGTTTTTTGTTGATGAACTTGACTGGGCCACACAGGACCCTGACGTCAATCCCACCAAACACCTTTGGGATGAACTAGAACAGAGACTGAAAGCCAGGCCTTTACACCCAGCATCAGTTCCTGACCTCACTAATGCTCTTCTGGATGAAGGGGCACAAATTCCCACAGACACATTCCAAAGTCTTATGGAAAGCCTTCCTAGAAGAGTGACAGCTTGATCCCTAGGGATTTAGAATGGGATGTCAAAAGTTCCAGTGGGTGTAATGTAGAACAGTCATGATTATTGCAAAACAACTTAGTATCACAACAGAACGACTGCAATGCAAAAGGAGTTTGGGAAAACAATTAGGGATGAGCCGATCCACATTTTTTTAAGTTCCTATCCGATTCTGATACGAGCTCTTTTTACTTTGTTATAGTTTATAAATTTTTTAAGCAAGTAAATACAGATGGAAAAAAAGTATGACAAAAAATATTTAATTAGGCTTCTACAAACATACATAACGTACTGTTCCACCTTGTTTGTACGTCTTGTTTTAAGCGTTTTTGAGGCATTTGCAGTTCAATATGAATATATTCAAAGCAAGTATACACAAGTGGCAAATGCTTAAAATTTTAACAAATTTTTTCTCCCATTGGCGTCAGCTCAGTTACACTTTGTTGTGATGGCAGCCCCTCTTGTATCACAAGCTGCAGCGTGTTTGCAAGACAGTCCAGGTTAGCGACTCCCAAATCATGCTTTTTTTTGTCTTGCAGTTAAGTGCGCTTTGTTAAGTGGGATTGTCCATTAAACGCTATTCCCACATCAAAACTTTATTTTACAAAGATTGCAAATCGTTGTGCTACTGGTTTCTGTTAAAAGCGTATAATACTCCCAGATCGTCACGTCTTATCTTACGCTCCTCGTACTGCAAATGGTATGCACATGACGTCACAGCAGGCGGAAGTCACTGTACTCACACCCACTGAGTAGCAAAAAAGACTGAGGGGCAGCGATAGCGTTCGATTTGAATGCTGCAAAAAACACATGTAAAATGGGAAATAGCTGTCATGCGATTGATTGTACAAATAGATTTAACAGGAAATAGGAGCTCTCTTTTTGGAGACTGCCAAAAATTACATAAGTATAGGACGTGGATCTGTCACGCGTGGTCGATACCCGATCCGTCAAATAGGTGCATCTCTAAAAATAATGCAAGGTTAACCATAGCCTCGCAGAATAGCCTAGCCTGTCTTTGTTATCACGTTGACTGATTATTATTTTGCTTAATTTACTTTATGATTCCTGTATGTTAAAATAATCACCGCTGAAATTAAGGTCATGTTACTTAACCGCATCATCTTACATAATACAGGGTTGCCAACTTTGGTCAGCTGCCTGGCGTGAGATTTTCAATTTGAGACAAGTCTGCACACACATTTACATGTAACAGTCTTATTACCTAGTGAATATTCTGTGTGGTTTGCAAACTACCACAATGCTTCAAATTTAGTTAATTTTAAGTTTATAGTGGAATAATCTATATTTGCCTTAAGATTTCTCGCGTGCGGCAAAGTGTCACGCCAAACGTGAGTTGGTAACCCAGTAATACATAATGCAGAGCTCATGCAAAAGCACTGTCCAAAAACACAGGGGTAGAATTACTTTGTTCGGGGGGCACAGCAATGTTTGCCTTTTATCTCCTCAAATATAGGAGGGCACTAAGGCATTTTCGTGTAGGTTTGGAGGGCACCAAGGCAATCAAGAATTACTGGCCAGGGCACTGAGGCAAAAAGGTATATAGCC